CTGCCAGCCCCTGGTTTTATTCTTGCCATTTTTGTTCCCTTGCCCTCTGTTTGCCGACTTTTGCTTCAACCTGTTTTATTTCCTTCTTTTCTTGGGTCACTGGATTTTCTCTGTTGCACACTTTCTGGTCTTGTGCCAGGTCACCTCCCTGGCTGAGTGCAGTCCCCCTCTGTGGGAGTGCCTGGCTTGGGGCCTGCCTTGTCCAGTTAAGACATCCTGGTCAACATGAGGGACTGGAATGAATGAGAATCTAGGATCTGCTGGTGGGGTCAGGATTTGGAGGGCCTGGTGGGGAGAGCTGCCCCAGCCTGAGGACAGGGAAGGTAGGTAGGACAGGGGGAGCCTAGACTCTGGAGGGGCTTGGAGGCTCAGGCAAAGAGGACTGCATCCATTGGCGAGCCGAAGCCAGTAAAAGATGAGATGGGGGAAATCCGAGCGGGCTTCCTGGAGGAATAGCCTTGACTGAGCTGGAGGGTGGGGCCAGAGTGGCCTTGAATGGTGAGCTTTCAGCACCTTGGAGAGGGCTCGTGGCTCTATGTAGGTGCCCTATATACAGTGCACGCAAAGCTTCTATATAGAATAAAATACAACCTCTGTACAGAAAGCACACAAACACACACATGATAACATATGTGGGCACACAAGGCGGCATGCCTGAGTCACTAGCGTGTGAAAAAACACATGAAAGCACACACTAAGGAACCACCATGAGCATGTGCAGGCTGTAAGCAGAGTGGGTGGGCTTAGAGGTGATGAATGTCGAACACACCTGCACCCGGTACAGCAGCAGTGTGTGCTCATTGGATATACTTGAAGGCCCCTGAGTTCTCACCGTGCCACATCACAAAGGGTTTCAATGTATAGCCTGCAGCACTGTTCCCGAGCAAGACTGTTATCCTGTCCTTAAAAGCCTTGAAACCTGGCATTGACTTGGCCTCCTTATGGATCAATGTCCTTTTGGGCATTGTTTCCAGAATAGGGAGGTTTCAACCATCTTGAAGATTTGCTATGGCAAGAAATGTTCCTCCACAATCAGCTTATCTAGAGTTTCCAAAAATTCTTCAGCTGCCTTCACATCAGCATTTGCAGACTTGCCACTCCTGTATGATGTAATGATCCTTGAGTCACATAAGCCACCCAGAGCTAGTGGTAAGTTCAGTGTTGTAGATGGGTACAGCCTTTTCTTTCAATAGCACAAACAAATTTTTTGCTTTGGCCATGATCGTCCTAGTGCTGAGAGGGGTATGCTTCTGTGTCTGTTCTTCAATCAAGGTCATAGAAGTTTCTCCATATTTGATATAGGCTCTTCTGGAATTTTTGTCAGTCAGTGAAGCAGATTCTTTATAAGTAGGAGTACACTCTAAAATAATGATAGGGCTGGCTGGTTAGCTCAGTTGGTTAGAGCACAGTATTGTAACATCAAGGTCAAGGGTTCAGATCCCTGTACCAGCCAGCTGCCAAAAAATAAAAAGATAAAAAAATACAGCATAGTAAGTACATAAGCCAGTAACATAGTTGTTTATTTTTGTTATCAAGTGTTATGTTCTGTACATAATTGTATGTGCTATACCGGTACTTTTATACGACTGATAGCGTGTAGATTTGCTTACACCAGCATCACCATGAACGCATGAGTAATGCATTGTGCTAAGATGTTACCATGGCTACGATGTCACTAAGCCATAGGAATTTTCCAGCTTCATTACAATCTTATGGGACCACCATCGTATATGTGGTTTGTTATTGACCAAAATGTTATCTGGAGCATGACCATATACACACACACGGGTACATCTCTCTCCATATGTGTGTGTGTGTTTAAGGATTTTTGCTTCTAGGGTCATGAATGATATTGGTCTGTAATTTTCCTTTCTGTTGTCTGTGTCAGATTGTGGCATCTGGGTTACACTAGCCTCATAAATATAAGCTAGGGAATGAGTGTCCTATTCTCTGGATTGTGTCAGGTTGCATTTTGTTGCTATTATTGCTGTTATTCCTTGAATGTTTGGTAGAGCTGGCCTGTACAACTGTTTATGCCTGCTGTTTTCTTTGTGGGAAGAATTTTTTTTCTTTTTTTTTTGCATCTGGCCTGTGAGGGGCTCCAAACCCTTGACCTTGGTGTTATAACACCATGCTCTAAAACAATGTTTGAAGAATTCTAAGTGCTGATTTAGTTTCATTGGTGGTGGTGGTTGCTTAATGACTATAGGACTACATAGGTTGTCAACTTCTTCATGAATTAGTTTTGATAAATTGTTTTTTTATAGGAATTTGTTCAGTTCTTGGGAATTTTCAAATTTATTGGCAAAGTTTTCATAACACTAAATTTTTTTTTTTTCCTTTTTGTCTTTTTTCGTGACCGGCAACGGATCACAACCCTCAGTGTCGCGCCTGTACTGGACCAGGACCGGCTATGGGATCGCAACCCTCGGTGTTGCACCCGCACCTCGCTCAGCCAGTGAGCGGCCGGTCTGTATGTGGGATCCGAACCCTCGGGCGGGAGCGCCGCCACGCTCCCAAGCGGCGCACTGTAGCAGTGCGCCACCGGGCCGGCCCCATAACACTAACTTTTAAAATCTCTGAAGCATCTCTAATAATAGTTTTCTGTCCTTGCTTTTATTTTCTGTGAATTCTTTTATTTTTCTGGGTTAATCTTGCCAGGATTTGTCTATTTTATTAGTCTTTCAAAGAACCAACTTTTGGCATTGTTGATTCTAATATCTGCACTTATTAATATTTTATTGTATTTTTATTGAGCTTATTCTACTGCTTTTTCTTTTTATTTATTTATTTATTTATTTATTTATTTATTTATTGTCTTTTTTTGTGACCGGCAACAGATCGCAACCCTCAGTGTTGTGCCCGTACCGGACCGGGACCGGCAACGGGATCGCAGCCCTCGGTGTTGCTCCCACACCTTGCTCAGCCAGTGAGCGGCTGGTCTGTATGTGGGATCCGAACCCTCGGCGGGAGCGCCACCGCGCTTCCCAAGCGGTGCACTGTAGCAGTGCGCCATCGGGCCGGCCCTGCTTTTTCTTTTTAAATGAGATGCTTAGCTAATTATTACTGAGCTTTTTTTCTTTTCTCATATAAGCATATCAGGCTACAAATTTCCCTCAAAGAACTGCTTAAGCTGCATTCCACTAGTATTGATATATATTTTTGTTATTCATCTGTAATAACAAATATCCATTATGATTTCTCTCTCTCTCTCTTTTTTTTTTAAGATGACCAGTAAGGGGATCTTAACCCTTGACTTGGTGTTGTCAGCACCACACTCTCCCAAGTGAGCTAACCAGCTATCTCTATATAGGGATCCAAACCCATGGCCTTGGTGTTATCAGCACCGCACTCTCCCAAGAGAGCCATGGGCCGGCCCCATGATATCTCTTTTGATCCATGAGGGGGTTTTTTTTGTTTTTTTTTTGGGGGGGGGTGGATTTACCGGTTATGAGGAATTAGAATAATAACAATCCTTGTTTCATGAGATCCTGTTATTATTGGTTTATGCAAGTCCCTTTTTCATGCATTTTTTATTAAGGTGAAATTAATCATTTTAAAAATGAGATTAATCATTTTAAAGTGAACAATTCAGTGGCATTTACTGCATTTACAATGTTGTTCAAGCACAACTTTAGTTCCCAGACATTTCTATCCCACCAAGAAAAAACACTGTACCCATTAAAGAGTTACTTCCTGGGCTGGCCCGTGGCTCACTTGGGAGAATGTGGTGCTGATAACACCAAGGCCACGGGTTCGGATCCCACATAGGGATGGCTGGTTCGCTCACTTGGGAGAGCGTGGGGCTGACAACACCAAGTCAAGAGTTAAGATCCCCTTACTGGTCATCTTTAAAAAAAAAAAAAAAAGTTACTTCCTATAGTTTCACTCCTAAGCCCCTGGCAACTACACATTTTATTTTTATAGGTTTCTTCTTCTGGATATTTCATATAGACACAATCACAAAGTGTGACCTTTTGTGTCTGGCGTCTTTCACTGAGCATAATGTCGTCAAGGTTCATCCATGATTAGCATATACCACTGCTTCCTTCCTTGTTGTGGCTGAATATTATTCTTTCGTGTGGACAGACCATAATTTGTTTATATATTCACTCAATGATGAACATTCGGGATGTTTCCACCTTTTAGTTACTGTGAATAGTACTGCTATGGACATTCGTGTGCATGTATTTTTTGAATACTTGCTTTCAGTTCTTCTGGGTATATACCTAGGAGTGGAATTGCTGGGTCATGTGGTAATTCTATGTTTAATTTTTTGAGGAACGGCCGAACTGTGTTGCACAGCAATTAACAATATTACATTCCCAGCACAATGAAGATGGATTATTTCAACTTTTCCACGTCCTCACCAACACTTATCTTCTCTCTCTTTTTTTTTTTTTTAAATTTTTTTTTTATAAAAAGATGACCGGTAAGGGGATCTTAACGCTTGGCTTGGTGTTGTCAGCACCACGCTCACCCAGTGAGCAACCAGCCATCCCTATATGGGATCCAAACCTGTGGCCTTGGTGTTATCGGCACCACACTCTCCCGAGTGAGCCACAGGCCAGCCCCCTTATCTTCTCTTTTGATTATTCCCACCCTTGTGGATATGAAGTGGTATCTCATGGTGGTTTTGATGAGCATTACCCTAATGACTAATGATAAATATCTTTTCATGTGCTTGTTGGCCATTTGTATGTCTCTAGTGGAGAAATGTCTGTTCGAGTTCCTTGCCCATTTTTTAATTGGGGTTTTTCTTGTTGAGTTGTAAGAGTTCTTTATATATTCTGGATACTAGACCCTTTTCAGATATGCAGTCTGTAAATATTTACTCCCATTCCATAGGTTGTCTTTTTGCATATCCCTTTTAAATTGTATTTATTAATAATGTAATGAGCCACCACACCTCACTTGAAAAGCTAAAGCAGTGATAGTGATTTATATCTACCTTGAATCCCTCTACCTTCCCAGATCAAAGGTAACATCACTATTTTGAATTCTGTGCTTATATTTTGTTTATTCCAGTTCTATTGGATAGATGTTCATGCCTACATGACATATTATTTCACTTGAGTTCCTTTCGAACTTTACAAAAGGTCAGCAACTTTACACGATGCTGAATGACTTTCCACAGTGGTCGTACCGATTTATAATCCCCCAGTAATGTACGTGAGATTACTGTTGACTGCCCCAATCCTCTCCAATCGTTGCTATTGCTCAGTTTCTTTATTTTTGGAATTCCTGAAAAGATGGCAACCTCACTCAGCCTGATGCTTGAGAATTTACTCTCCCCTGCATCCCAGCCTCTTTCACTGTTCCCAGGGAGGCTCCAGGCTGCAGGACAGAGATGGGCCACCCCTCCTGCTTGGTCTGTGACCTCTGTGTGATTTGGGGCAAAGAATTTGACCTTTCTGAGCTTAGCAGAAAGCCGGGTCTCTGAGCAGCTGACTGAGAGCTGTCCTGGGGTGGAAGTCGTTGGAGAGTCAAGGACTCAGCTGGGGTCGTGGGGGTCTCCATGCCCTGTTGCTGTCTGGGCTCCTAGGGTTGGGTATGTGTCCCGGGTGGCCGTGTGTGTCCAGTCAGGGGGGTATATAAGTAGATGTTTGGCTCCTTTGGGGTGTCCAGGGATGGAGAAGGAGCTGTGACAGGGACCAAGTTCTCAGGCAGACTAGTTGGCTCCGTTTAAGTTTTATTGGACCCCTTCTAGCCTGGGGCTCCCCACGGCCCCCAGGAGGTGGCTCTGGCCGGCCGCAGCGTCCTGCCTCTGCTCCCCGGCTCTGTCCAGTTGCCCAGGGGGAAGGAGGGAGGGTGGGCAGAGGGAAGGGGCTGGAGACAGATCATCAGCCCTCCCCGCCCAGGCCAGGGTAGGGCCCTCTCTGTCTCCGTAGAGCTGGCCAAGGGCCACCAGTCCAGTCACCCCACAGGGATCAAGGCGCTGGGGACAGCCCCTGGCGGCCAGTCACCGCCTGGCTATGTGGCTAGCGTGTGCCCGTTGGCTAGCCGCCCGGCTGCCCGGCTCCGGGGACCGTCCGTGGGGGCTGCCCCGTTCTTCAGCTGGGGATGCTCCTGGGCCACTTCGTTGCTCGAGTCTGATTCTTCCACGTCGCTGCGAACGTCCTTCTCTATCTGGGGAACAGGGAGCGGGGACGAAGCTCAGAGCAGGGAGGAGCTCGGAGCTCGGGGCTGGGGGCTCCGGGGGCGGCACTCACGAGCTGACCCTCGCCCGGCCGTACCTGGCCCTTCTTCACGAAGCTGAAGACCATGCGGACGATGAGACAAGACCAGAACACGTGCAGCAGCTGCAGCAGCGCCAGGAGCGTGTTGAAGAAGTAGTAGCCGAAGAAGGGGCCCGAGTCGACGATAGACTCGTAGTACGTGGTGTAGAGGATCCTACGGCGGGAGGAGCGTTAAGAGGCGACGGGCTTCGGTTGCCGCAGCGGGTCCCCTCCCGCCATCTGTTCCCCCGGGAGCCACCAGAGGGCGCCTGTGAGCGCCCGAGTCAGCTCCCTCTGCCTACAGCCCTGCATGGCTCCCACTTCACTGACTCGGGGTAAAAGCCCACGTCCACGCCGCAGCCACAAGACCCTGCAAGGCCTGCCCCGTCCCCTCCCTGCCCTTCCCGCCCTCCCCTCCCCCCCCTCTCCTCCTCTCCCCTTCACTGGGATCCTCGCTGCTGCTCCAACATCTGGGGGACAGTCTATTCCCAGGGTCTTTGCATGTGCTGTTCCCCGTGATCGGCATGGCTCTTCCTCACCTCCCTCCCATCTCTTTGTACAGATACTGTCAGTGAGGCATCCCTGACCACCCTAATTCCAAAAGCCAACTCTTCCTGTGTTCTTCCCAACTTTTTTTTTTTTTTTTGGAGGCTGGCCCTTATGGGGAACCGAACCCTTGACCTTGGAGTTACAAGGCTGTGCTCCAACCACCTGAGCTAACCGGCCAGCTCCCAGCTTTATTTTCTCTTTCACATGCTCTACGTTTTATTTGTTTGCCTTATTTACCATCTGCCCCCACCCATGCAATGCCGGCTTCACAGGGGCCAGCGATCTTTGTGTTGCTACCCAGCAACTGGCATATTTGAGAGGCTCAAAAAATATTTACTGGGCTAAGACGTTAGTGAGCTGGCGCCCCGACCTCTCCTCCTACTCCCTGGTCCAGGCACACTGGGTGATGACGACTGAGTCTAGTTCACTGTCTCTCCAGCTCTGGGCCTTTGCATATGCAGGAGCCCTGCCTCCTCCTAGAAGTCTCCCAGCCCACACCCCCAGCTCCCTGGGGCAGGGTTTCGAGGGTTGGGGCACGCCCGGGACCTCCCCAACCCCCCACCGCCTGACCCTGCCCACGGGAGATCCGACTCACTGTGTGGGGAAGAGCACGAGGCGGGTGTAGAAGAAGACGCAGGAGAAGATAAGGAAGAGAGCATCGCACACTGACCGGAAGCGCGCGTAGTTGAACATCTTACAGGCCTGGGGAGGGCAGCAGGGAGAGACGAGCTCAGCGCCAGGTGCCAGGTGGGAAGGGGCGGGGCCAGGCAAGGTACGGCCTTTTCGCATGGAAAAAACCGCGATGGGGCGGGTCTAGGTGAGTTGGGGCTGGGAGAGGGCGGGGCCTCACCTCCCAGGGAGGCTGGGAGGGGGCGGGGCCT